GTTGATATATAACCCACCCTCCAGGGGGATGAATAACAGAAATGTGGGTGAAGGGAGACATTGGACAGTGTAAGATAGAAAATAATAATATAATTGATAAGGATTTATAAGGCTAGGAGGGTGGGAGAGGGAGGGGAAAAAAGAGGAGCTGATACCAAGGGCTCAAGTAGAAAGAAAATGTTTTGGAAATGTTGATGGCAACATATGTACAAATGTGCTTGATACAATTGAATGATGTATTGTTATAAGATGTGCCAGCGCTCCCCCCAATAAAATGATTAATAAAAATCACAAACATTTTTTAAGTGTTGAAAAGCAAGGATGTTGCTTTGAGAATTAAGGTGCGCCCGACCCAAGCCGTAGGACTTTCAATTGCCTCCTATGCATGAACGTGGGCCACTGAATAAGGGAGACTGAAGAAGAACCGATGCATTTGAATGATGGTACAGGAGAACGGTATTGAAAATACCATGGACTGCCCAAAGAACAAACAGACCTGTCTTGGAAGAAGTGCAGCCAGAATGCTCCTCAGACGCAAGAGCCATCTCACATACTTTGGACATGTTCTCCTGGGAAAGACATCGTGCTTTGGAGGGGAGAGGGGCAGTGAAAAAGAAGAAGGCCCTGGAAGATGGGCTGGCACAGTGGCTGCAGCCATGGGCTCGGACGTAAGAGCCATTGTGAGGACAGTGCAGGACTGGGCGGTGTCTCGCTCCGTTTGCACAGGGTCACTATGACTCAGAACTGGCTTGATACCTAGAAACAACAATTATTTATGAGAGGCAGAAAGCTTATCTTTCTCCCAAGGAGTGGCTGGTGGTTTCAAACGGCTGACCTTGCAGTTAGCAGCCCAACCCATATCCCACTTCTCCACCAGGCCTTGCTTCTTCAGGAAGTAGAACAGAAGCAGTAAACACATTCTTAGGCCAATTAAGTGGGATTTCCCATAGAACCATCATTTTAAACCTCCAAACCCAGGAACCGAATCCCATGAAGTATTTGGTTGTACACAAGCAGCTTCAGCAGCTACTCTGTTTTGGTGTTGTAAGCAGATCTATCACATGACTTTTGCTAGTTCAACTTCTTATAGGTGGACAATTTATCAATCAGCTGTGCAAATTTACCCTAAATCAATGCAAATTTCCCATCACCTTAAACCTCAAGTTAGTATTCTGTTAGCAGTAATTTTCGCTCCCCTCCTTACTTCTCTCTGGTAATTCTAACAAATGTAGAGACTATGGCTCTGTGTTAGTTACATAATCTGTTGTCAATCTGAGACTTACGAGGGAAGGGGTGGAGTTTAGCCTGTCAATCAGTTTAGCTTGATGACCTCATTTGGAGGTGCTAAGGTGATAAATAGCTCGCTGGAGGCGGGACACATGCTCACTCCCTGTGAGACATTCCTGTTGAGGAGACACATGTAGCTACGCTAGAGTCCTGGAGCTGAAGTCC